TTAATTTTTAAAGAAAAAGAAAGTATATTCAGTAAGAAAAAGTATCATTAATAAATTTGAACTGCTTCAAAACAATTTCCATTATAATAATTATAATAATGTTGTTTGCTCTTTATTTACATTTTGCCAGATAAAAAATTTTATTTAATTTAATAACAGTAAAATATTAAAAATTAAGATATTAATATTTTCTTACAATAATAATAATAATATTTATAATTCTCATGATAAATTTTTAAAACTGAATTTTGATTTTTTTCTTTTAATTAATATTTATAAGAATTTGCAAATTAATCTGATTTTAAATCAGATTAACTTGCCATTAAAATTTTTAGAATGATAGAAAAACATTAAAAGAAAATAAAATTCTAAAATTTTGAAAAAATATATTTATATTATTACAAAATAATATAAACATACATTTCATAATTGTTAAAACCAAATATTAGAATCTTAATTTTCATAAATTATGACAAGAATTCAGTTTTTAGATTATTTAAAGTTTATCTAGTTGAAATTATAAGTTTATATTTATAATATATGGTGTGTTATTAAATTTTATTTGATACTTAAACTAATTAGTTAAACAATGAAATTTATTGGTATTGTTGGCATTGAAATTCTGTTCGATTGTTTAATTTCTTGTATGTCACTACTTAACTTATTCAGAATTCCTTATTCAAGTGATTCTGAAAGAGCTTATGGAAAAAGCAAACAAACAGTTCAGAAATTCTTAATAGCTTTCTGAAAAGATTGTATCTCATAATGTAAAGCTATCCATGTTTAACCTATTTATTATATTAAATTACATACTATTACTGGTAAATAAAAAAATATTATCTAAAATTTGAATTTAAAAAAGTGATCAGAACTGTGTATTACTTTTAATGATAAGGTAGTGGAACAATATAAATAAAATCAATAGGATTTTTTTATTTCCAGTGCTTACTAAAAAATGATTATCATTATTCTAACTTTAGAAAATGAAAATAGTGATGTATTGGCATATGTTCAACTTTTGATAACTTTTAAAACCTGTTCAGTTATTTGTTAATATATATATTTATATACTTGTATGTAATGATAAAAATCAGATTTATTCATGAGATTTCTTTAAAAAGAATTTTTGAATCATTAATGGCTAGAACCAAATAATTCAGAGTTAATAAATTCTTCTCAATATAAACATTTATGTATAAAAACACTCAATGTTTCCACTTTTAAAATTTATCTTTAAAAATATTTATATTCTGAATAACTGATGACATCTCTAAGTGTTTTTGATGCATATGTATTCAATATCATATATTTTAAAAACAACATTTTGTTCTTTTAAGTATTAAATTTATTTGGATTTTTTTTTTTTTTTTGTAAAAAATTATGATTTTCTAACTTCATTCAGCTAGTTGACAACGCAGCAGTAAAAACTGCCATTAGTAACAAAAGTTTTCTGTTGGAAATTTGTACTAGATTCTTTCTTTGCTATTTTGTTGACATACAAAACTTTTATTGTGTTTTCAAATGTTTATTACTTGTACTCCNCTTGAACTAGTATCACTTGACTTCTTTTAGTTTTTGTTTGTTGAAAAAATTATGTAAAAATGAAGAAATTTTATTTATTTTAGCTTAGTTTATTTGTTAACTTTTTGTAATATAAATTATATAAAATTTTATTTTAATCTAAGACTAATATTTTTCAGTAATTGTGTTTTTGTTTTTAGTAAGTTGAATAATAATCATAAATGTATGATCACAATAACTATTTATTTTTATATATTAAAATTTGATATACACAAATTTATTCTAATAATTTATCGCAATGCATGTTCCGTTCAATTTACAACAGAATTCTGACATTAAATACAGCTTTGCATTTCCAGAACTGTAAAAATAAATATTCACCAATAATCTATCTTTTAACATAAATATGTCATTGAAAAAACAACTGGAAAATATTAGATCAATAAATTTTTGCATTTTGGCATCAGTATGAAAGTACTGTACATATTATTATTGGTCTGATGCACTTTGTCAAAGTGGTTGAACAGATTTTGATAGACGATTGAATAAAAATATTGATTAAAAATATATCTGTACTTTTTACAGAGTTGTTTTAAATTTGTGAATTAAAATTAATTTAAACAAATTAGATCTGAATTACTTATGTTTCTCTTGTTTTATCTATTTAAATTTTTTAGAGGATAAGAGATTAGCTATTTATTATCAAATATGATTTATGAGTTTCTTTTTAAGTTAATTTATTAAATAACAGTTGATTTGAATTTTCATATAAATTAATCTTAAATACAAGTATAATCCAGTGATTGTAACTATAATTTTTACTCTTGTGATTATCTGAACTTACTATTACAGCAGTTTCATCTTATTTGTATTACTTAGCACTGCTTATCCTTATTATTTATTAACTGTGTTTTATATAGATTTAGTAATGTATCAAAAATGTTTCTTAGCTTCTTATTTTTTTGAACGTATTTTTTTCTTCTCTTTCACCAACTAAATCCTTATTTTGGATAAAATTACTAAAGATTTGAGTTTTTATTTTGAAATTTTAAAAGTATTTAAGCACGTGTGTTCATTAATATAAAAAAAATGTTTATATATTATAATTTTAATTTGATTAAAAGAAATTTTATGTAGGAATGTTTTTACAAAATTAATTGCTTGTAACAGTGAATAAAACAGCTTAGAAACTGGATTATAATATAAAACATTTACTAAACACCACAACTCCAGCTTGTATAAAATAATTTTAGGTTGGAAAAATTATGTATATAAAAAGTTTTGAGTTATTTAGTTTTATTGAAAATAAGCTAATTGTTTTAGTGATTAATAATCCTTTCATTGGAATTATCCAATTTTTTAATATGTATATAAAAGGAAAAAATATAAATAACTTATGTGTACTAATTTAAATCAACTGTTTAAAAAATATTTTACCTTGATTTGGAGTGATCCTTAGATCTCATGATCCCTAAATCTATCTAGGGATGGCCAAGGTATAAGTAATGTGAGAGTCATAGCATATCACCTTTCTGATATGGAATGAGCCATTTAGTTTGACAATTATCAAAAATATATGTAATTTTAAAAAATGAATTTTGAAAGATGACTTTTTAACTTAAATGAAGAAAGATTTAATGTAAAAATGTTTTCAAATTTTTTTTTGTTTGAACGTAATCAATTCTGATTTACAAAAGCATTGAATTTGAAAATAAATTCATGCTTAAAGTCTGTGGAAATTAATTCAATGTGAACTGTAAGATTTAATATTGGTATCAAAATATGTTGATACATTTTTTCACCTTTTATTTTTATATCTATATCAAATTTATTTGATATAGATATAAAAAGCATATATATATTGTAAGATCTTCTCATATAATTGCATCTTTAAGATGTTGAACTGAAAATTTTAAATTATTCTTATCAAATTCATAATATAAAAAATAAACTATGTTACATAAAATAGAATCCTGTTATAACAGATATTTGTTTATAAATTGTCATTATTAACTCACTTAAATAGTAAAATAGGATAAAAACAAAAATTTATTTTCAGAAAATTTGCTTTTGCTTTTAAGTAAGTGACATTTTTTTTTTCTTTCTTTCAGATGTAAAATATTCCAAAACTAACTACTAATTATTTTTAAACAAAAATCAAAATTTAGTGATTTCAAATTAATGATTTCAGACAAAATTAATAATAAAATAGAGAAAGAACTATTTATTATAAAATTACTTTATTCATATTTATTTAACATAATTTAATAAAAATAAGATAATGTTAATACAATGCAATTTAAATAAATTTAGAAATTAACTAAAAAAACTTATCTAAATTCAGAAACATTTACAGTCATTTTAGAAATCCATTAGGTTTTTTTTATATATTTTTTTTATTGCGAATATCTGAAAACGTTAGTGTAGCCTTGATTCTCTACATGAATGATGTCCTTCTAGATTTTTATTATCTCATTTTTCTTAATTACCAGTATCATTAGTAATATATTTCCATTTAAAATTGAATGTATTTAATTTTGACAAAGTTTATATCAGCATGCTGAGCCATTTCTAGGAAACAAAAATTGAATGGCTAACATATTTTGTAATTCAAAGGAACATTAAAGTTTATCATTTATTCTTATATTTCTCGAATTTTAAATTTAATATATTCAAAAGTTTCATTATACCTTGAATAAGATGCATTTGTATATGGTAAGGATGTTTAAAGCTGGATTTAATTATGTAAGTATAAATCTTTCACATATGTTGTGTGTAAAGGAAACAACAGACCAACTACATTATGTTAATGCAGCAGTTAAGCAATAAACAGTGGCATGGCTGATTTTATTGCGTAGGAGTAAGTGACCTTCTTTGAACTTAATCACACCTTTCAATCAGTTGACACAAAATATAGCTGTTGTTCTGTACTTTGTTCACCTGTCATGTGACATCCAAAATCACAACATTTCACAGAATCAAAATTAAAATTTTAAATTTCTAACATTTAATTACAGAATTTCAATAAATTTACATTTTGTTTTAATAATCAAACTGACTTCTGTTTACTTTTGAATTAAAAACAAGTGAAATAATAAATTTATGTAAATTTTGTCATAAACTATATTTAAATTAGGTCATAAATTTATTTCTCTATTAAAAATTGAATTTAGGACACTTAGTTCGAAATCACCAAAAATTATCCTATGTAGTGTGTGGGAATTAAAACTCTCTTATAAAAATATAAACATGAGAGAGATTGTTTTGATATGATATCTTAGGAAATAAACTGTTATATGTAATATTTATAGAATATCATCTCTAGTCTTATTTAAATATATAGGGTTAAGTATAAATATAAATATCATGCCATATCATATACAGTATATATTGATATAATTAATTCAAAAGAAACATATAATTATATCACTCAACGGGAGTTATTAAATTTAAAAATTCATAGCTAAAAATGGAAAAAGTTATGATTCTCACTGGTTTCAACTCAACATTCACTAATCAGATTACTATATATTTATCTAAGTATATACTTTATCATCTGTCACTACACTGGTTTACAAATAGTAGATAATTCAATAAGCTTCTTTGTCCTTTAAGAATGTGTAACATTACATGATTATCTAACTGATTGTTTTGATATATTCACAAGAGTTAGAAAAAAGAGAAAAGCAAAAGGCGATTTTAATAGAAAGGAAAATAATTCTGTTTTTATTAGCAGGATTTTTTGAAAGCGCTAGGAAAACTCTCTCATTCACTACTGGGTGCATCAAAGAATAATTACACTATTGTCTAGCAGATGTAACGTGCCAATGATTGCTAGCAGACAAAAATTGAACCAGCACTTCCTTATTTGGCACATTCGTACTTGAATCAGCTAAGAAGAATGTTCGACCTTCTGAATAAAAGGGAAGTGACCCAGGAATTTTTTCTGCTTTCTTAATAAATATTTTTGGTTCTTAAGAAGTCGATCTTCCCTTTGCTATTCCTTTAAGTCTTCTGTCGTGTAAATAGCATCTTCAATTAAAAGTAGCATACATTAACTGTTAAATTACGGATTTATGCGCCAGCGTGTCTGGAGGCAGTTCATTTGTCTTTTTCCCCCCTTTACTCTTCGGACATCCATATTTATTTCTTACATACCTTTAAGGGTTTCCCCCCTATCCGGAGCTGTTTTTCCGCATTAAATAAATGACTTCACACAAAATGTATATAAATAACTAGACCTGTATAATATGAATTACAGTTTTTAGTAAGTCGCTGTATAAATTTTTATGAAAGCGGAATTAAAAAAAAAACTCGTCGTTTTATGTGCATTTGTTTTGTACCACGCGAGGAAAATTTTGCGGAGTAGTTCGGGGTTTTGTTAGAAGTAGGAAGTTGCTAATTCGTATTATAATGCGCATCACATGACCTGCCAACAGTAATAAAAACTAGCTATTGTTGTTGCTATAGTAACGATGTCGGGTCAATTTAGGTACGGTCAAAACACATTTAATTTTCGATCGTTTTTAATAAACTCTAGTACTCGAGCAGAGAATTTATTAAGCGTTCATACGCTATTTTCTTCAGTTAAGAATATGATCTCTCTATTTTTTTTGTTGTTTTGTTTTTGAGTTAATTATTGTTTTTCTGGCCACAAAGAAGTATTGTTCTCACTCTAGTAAGACTTTTAGAGTCGTTTTACATAAACAATACTCTGTTGTATACAATTTTTTTGTGCGTTTTTAAAGAAAAAGGAAAAAAAAATTAACACGGATCCAGTTTCAGTTTATGCTTATAACCCGATAATTTTTAAATTAATGCGCATAAAAAATCCGGTTAATGAAGAAATTTGCATGTTGAAGGCACGCTTGTCTTAAAAGGCCCTAGATTTTTTGCTGGGCGGAACGGTTTGGATTATAATTTTGCCTCTGGCTATAGTTTTACCGGTTGCTGCTAATTTACCGAAAACTTTAATTTACGATTTTGATACATCAAAACAGTTCGATTTATAGAATTTTGTTTTTTTTCTACGGCCATATATCATCGTCCACTTCAAAGTTAAGAGGATGCTTTGTGAAATGAAGTATTTAAAAGATTACATACGTTTATGAAAGATTAACTCGATCACATCGTAATCGCCCGGTATATAAACGCAATTTTCAGTTATCTAATTAGCATTTTTAAGGTTTTACTTGCGCTAGTTACGAAAAAATCATTTTCCTTTCTTGATAAATGAGTGGGACGAATTTATGCAGATCCCGCCCGTTGCACAAATTCCTACCTGGTCGTCCTGATCATTGCACCTCCAAGGACATCACCGTTCAGGTATCATGTAAAGTATAGGGGGCGGTGAAGGACGTCATGACGTCACTTCGCGCCGTACCAATCCGCTAACGTGGTAGCACGGCTCTTAGATGTTTACGGACGGTTCCATCAGAAAGACATCAGACATGGGAAAGAATAGTGGTTAATAGTTTGGCTCCTATTTAAAAATTTTTTTTTATATTCTAATTGTGGAATAAACATGAAAGTGTTCGAAGGAAACCACACCTTCACCCTCCCCAATCCTAAGAAGAACAGGGTGAGTTGCATTCAGACTGTACAGGTAAATGCAATTTTTTTTTAAAGTTCTGTAATTATCAATTCCTGTTCCATATCTCTCATTTTCCGCATTTCTAACCGCGTCGTAATAAAGATTTACGCATGGCTGGAGGTATTAAAAAAAAATTCTTGTTTGTGTTACCAAACGTTTATAGCTACTTATCTAGCCGTTTCGGTAATTCTTCGTCCGGCTGATGAGTCCGATTAGCGATAAGAACGATCATCTCCGTCTACGTCGTTTATCTCGTCTCCAAAATCGAACCTTACATGGAATATACCACCTTCAAACGACATATAAAAGCCTGATACTCGATTTTCCCACCGACTACAGGTTTTTCCACCTTACCGAACTCAGCCTACGAAATTTTTATTGCTACATATCCAGTCAATGTAGGCAGACAGCCAATGTCGGATACAAAGAAAAATGACCTCGTCAGACACTTGTGGATATCCAATAACTATTGTAGAAATCACCAGAGAATAGAGCCGTATTATGTTTGTTTTTTTCTTCTTTTTTTTGAACCACTTTACATACGCCTTTTAGTATACGGCGTTTTATATAAACGGTGTTGTGCAATAGGCGCTGGGTACTTATAATTGTAGAATCAGATTTGCTCTTACCTAAACAGTTGAAAAGCTTCTGGCTCGATGCCAGCGATTCTAGCAAGTTTATATTCTACATCGATCGGTTGTGGCTAGTGACTCGCTATACTCGATTGAATAACGTCCGAAATAGTAGGAATTGGAGTAGAAACACTTCTAATTTCCTCCTATATACGTTCAAACTCCCATCAACTGCCATTAGGAAAACGTCGAAAGTAAAGCAAAAAAAAAAAAGAAAAAAATGACTGTTCCGACTAATCTTTACAGTTTTTATATGGTAAATGAGCTGTTGTTTCGCCAATCTATTAAACCAGTCCCCCCCTTCTTTTAACGTTATTGATGAGCGATCATCCCAAATTCCCAATTTAGATAGGATCAGATGACGCACCAGGGCAGATCTCATTTCATTCCGTGGGTGGTCTACACCTTATAGGCTTTGTAAATCCGTGTTTGTTTGATATTTCTGTCGATTTTGATTGTCGCACAGGTGTTTGGCTACGTTTACACTCGGGTCATTCATCTCGAACATCTACAAGTGGTGTCAATCGCACCGACGATGTCTTCGTACGTGAACGGAGACAAAAACGGAGTCGGCACTTGGCACTATTCCACAGCAAGGAGAGAGAGAGGAATCACAATTTCGGTTTCGTAAATGAAGTGTTCGTTTCTTCGACAGCATTAAACATGCTTTTAATTAAATGTAGTCATTAAGGTGGATAACAAAAGTGTGTTGTCCACCGTGGGCAACTGGGCGTAACGAATGTTTGCATGTTATCCACATGTCACTCTTGTACGAACCGATAACAGATTTAAAGTTGTTATTGTTTATCTCTATAACATGTAGTAGTTTAAAGTTGTTAATTTGTTTTGGTCATTGACGGCGTGCAAATATTCTTCAATTTTCAACAGCGTTATCTTTAAAATTCTGGTATGTTTGTAATTATTCTAAAGGTTTTACGTTGCTAACTCATTTCGCGTGTTTGTAATTTTGAGTTTTTTCTTTTTTTGCTGAGCAATTCTATGGATCGAAAAAAAACTACGGTAATTAAAAGAAAATGATTTATTCGTCGTTATGAAAACATAAAAAAGTGGAGTTTAGTAAGTTTTATGCGAATACCCGTTCGGAATTATTGACACAATGATTGATATTAATCGTATACCCCGTTAAGGTAGCCAAGTTGTATTATTCATTAATGCTAATCTGATTTTCGTATCGACTTTAATGGATACTAACCAGATTCTGCTGTTGTGATCAAAAAAGAGGTTTCATTATTCATTAGGTTGACGTTCCATCTAAGAATTTTCCTGTGCTCGGGTTGTAGAAGCCATTAGGTGGTTTTGCCCTTGATAGAGACAAAGAATTTATCCTATATCTCGACCAAATGTAATTACGTTTGGAAAATTAACTCTGCTCTGGGAGGCGTGTTTTACCTTCGGGCTAGTTTTTAACATTACTCTTGATTGGCATTCAAAAATAATATGTTTCTCGATCTTTTATATAGTATAGATGTAACTAGATTTAACCTTTTTTCTTCCTTTGGACTCGCCCTAAGTTTAGTCACGTATCAAAAGCTAAATTTATCTTTATTTTATAGCATCAACAGTTAATCTTTTATGGAGTTTATAGCATGGTGGTAACTCACAATAAAACATTTTCACTTTTTCCCCCATATCTAAATTGAGGTTTATAAAAGTTGGGTGAAGCTCGTCACGTTTGGCAGGTGCCATATGTTTCATCCATTCGGTTACGGCACGTCGTCACGTTTAGCGTGACAGACAAAATACCAAATGGCGTGTCGATCTCGTGTTGGAACTTCTAAACGTCGTGAAAAACTCCTTAAACGCTCGTAACTTAAGAACTCAATTAAAAAATGGTTCAATGTTATAACGTTCCGAACTTTCGTAAATGTATTGGGTGAAGGGAACGTCCTATAAACCCATATTTTCTTTAATACTTCCATATTTGTCACTTCTCAACCTGACCTTTACCGGTTATTTAATCAATCATATAAAATTAATTATCCTCAAAGGACGGGTGCGAAGAAGTTAGTTTATTTATCTTGTTTTAAAACATTCTACCCTTATCCATATTTTATACACGAAGCTCATCCCGACCTGCCAAGAAAAAAATTACTTTAGAAAGCCGAAAACTTGATTAAAATACATTAAAAATTCTCTTTTGTATATATATATATACATATAAAAAACCTCCATTGATTAAGTTGATAAGAAGATTAAATTAATATCTAAAATCTGTATAGGTTTTCCTCAATTAACGTGTGAAAAATGTTTATCGCCAGCAGCGGATCCTTTTCACTAGCTAGGAGGTAGAGCATTTGTTAGGAGAGTAGATAATTTTTAAAGCATTTTATCCAAAAACATAAGCTTAAGTGGAGTCGGAGTAGTAGCCTAAATTTGGCGGCCACACCATTGGACCCTCTTGATTGATGATGCTGCATCTACTAACATGTCAGCAGCACGTACATCGGATACTGTACCGAGTGTATCCGATGCAAAAGTAGCAGCTTGCTTCTGATAATGCCTCACGGTCGATAAAATCCATAATTCCCTTTTCCAACGGGATCCACGTCTTTGGTTTTTCTGTTTTTGTCTTTCTCTCTCTCTCTCTTCCTTTTTTTATATATATCCACGAAAGAGATTTATTTCCTGTGGAATACATCTGTAATTTCGTGGCGATTTTTTTAAAGCTCGATTAGTTCGAAGACTCATTAGTGGCCAAGTATTTTAATAAGGTAGATTTTCTCTTATCAGAGATGTATGGCACGTTTTCTCATCCGGTATTTATAATCCCGAGTATGATGGCTAACCTCCTGCAGGTTGTGTCGTGGGTGGGACGAGTAGGTAAAAGGCGTTAGCCCACTCTGGCCCTTGGTAATGGTTCTGGGATCGTCCTAAGTGCCTTAACTCGCTTTAATGTACCCTTTGTATAAATATCGTCCCCCCCCTTTACGCCCTGCATTCGTTTTACTATTTTAAAAAAATATTTTCGCTTTTAAGATTCTCCCCTCTTCGTGCAATTACCAAAATTGAAGAAATTATAAGTTTAGATCGTTTATCAGCACGAAGGTAAATTCTTCTCGACGTCACGGAATTCCTAAGATTTCTGCAATTAGCGAAGCCAAGTTAAAAACACGAAAATGTCTAATTTATTATATTCGGGTCGGTTTAATTGCGAAGAATTGCTGGCTTACCAAAAAATGCAGATTGATGATAGTGAAGAGAGGTTTTTCGTAAGAGCGGTATATTACGAAGAGGATTTTTTTATTAACATAATGAAAAAATCAAAGTTTGTTTGTAGAAAATGATAGGAAGTGACAGATTTGATAGACAAATTACTCACGAATAAAGGACTATTTTGATAACTATTGATATATCGTTACAACTGCACGAAATCTCTTTCAGAAGGGATTAAGATCGATTATGTTGTTTCCCAAATGAAATTCTTTTTATTTTTTTCCTTAGAACGGAGGGAGATTTAAATGGTTCAGAAAACTCGTTCAAAGTCCAGTTCTGTTAGCTACGTAAAAAAATTTCACGCTCACTTATTTAAAATGTAATATAATGGCTCTAACAAAAAATAAAATGATTTTTTTTTCTTCCCTAGTGTACAGACATTGTGGAGTTTTTTAGATTTACTGCATTGTATACCGTACATAAAAAGTGAATATTTGATAAATTTCTAAGAGTAAAACATCATAAAGAAATCCCGAAAAGTGATAGATGAAACCGCAAGGTTTTCGTTTGAAGTTGCCACCATTCACGTGGCATAAATGTAGAGATGATTTTATTATATATCGTGCAGCATACTCGCATAATATCCCATTAACACATTTTAATACATGACAACTTTATGGATATGTTATTCGAAGCGGTTTCGACGGTATAATGCAGTATTCATTGGATGAGCGCTTGTAAAGAATTCTGTCTACGCACAAAAAAAAAAGGAACTGGAATCGGTTAGTTTGTCTGTCCGTCACGTCCACGATCCGAGTATATTCATGTGAATGGAATATTTGCTTTTAGCAATATTTAAGGTTAAATTTTAACCAGATGGGTGTAATTTACTGGAAACTTTCAATAACCATTTTACCATTCCTAACATGTTCTTTTATATCCTCGGGTTAAATTGTTTTTGATTTAAACACCCGTGTTTATTTAAAACGTCGGTTTTAGCCAGTCTTTGAAAGAATTAATGAAGTAAACTTTTACAAATCTGTTAACAGTTCAAAGATTTATATCGTTTGGGATGAAGGGGCGAAAATGTCCAGTTTTTTCGTGACAGGATCACAAACATTCCTTGTGTGAAATTGTCTTCAGAAAAAAACATATATGCTAATTTGTGGTTTGATTCTTGAAAGTCGATACGCTATTATTATTATCACTTTATTTTTTATGAAAAATGTTACAAAACTCAATCCGGTTTGATATAAGGTTTTTGTTTCGTATGTGCGGAATCATCCATTATTTCTTGGTCTCCTCTTTGCAACTTTTATGTAATATCCGAAAAAGGCTGAATGGATAAATAAATGAAAAATAATATCAACCGTAAATATAATTCGATGAAATGTTTTTTCTTTCTTTTTTTTTAAAGACGCTTTAACTAAATTTCGAGGTACCATTTACCAATGTCGAAGATCACGCAAGTCTAATTAACTGCTGGTTAGAAACCACACGACAATCGGAAGAAAACGACATCAAACAAGCCCTTTTTTTCCGTAAATCCTAATTCAGTCGCACGATATCTAATCTTTTTTTTTTCAAGTCCAGGAAATAATGAGCTGTCAGATGAGTTGAAGGATTTAAACAGGGTTCCAACCACGATCCTTCATAGGATAAAACGAATGCAAGTGAGTGCCGGTCACTCTACCCATCCAGCTAATGTAGCATGTCCAGTTTTTGCACCGAATACCTTCATTTTTCTCTTTTATCCGTGCAGTGCTAGAGGAGGTCTTTGCCCCGATACGAATCCATTCTCGTCATAAGATCATTATATTATTTCTTAGAAGGGTTTCTTTTTTTCTTAATGGAACCGCTAAGCTTTTAATTACGAAAGAAAATTAGATGTATCTTTTATATATACGTTACGTATAAACTTATTTTTTTAAGGGGAGTAGTTTCATTGATATCAAACTTGTTCGTGCAGGATTTTGTCAATTCGATGAGAAAAAATGATTTTGATGAGTTTATTATACCTTAGATGATGAAGTTTGGTAGTTTTAACACGTTCACAATTGCAAGTACAGTTTAGAGAAGAAGGGAGGGGAAAAAACTTTAGAGCAACTGGAAAACTTTTCTTTCTTCAACTGCGAATCTTTTGTCCGTTTTACGGTTGAAGAATTTTCTTTCTTTTATTATTTTATATATAGTTTTTTTTTTTTAAACTCGCGAGTGTAAGTGAAGACTGAATGAATGTTTCTACTTCATAATGATTGGAAAAAAGAGACTGAATGGTGGATATAAAAAAAGAAGATCGCGAGACGACGGATAAGTCTTTCTCCCTCTTACCAAAAAAAAATAGGTATTTGTCCCGAAATCTTACAAATTTTTTATGCTTTCCTGTGCGAAATATTGAAATTTTTTGAATTATTATTATTTTTTTTTTTGAGCGTTTATATTCCGGAGGGTAGAGAGAGTGTGTGTGTGTGTGAGAATAAAAGAAAAATTGCAAGATCGTAGAGAAGAAATATCTCCGAATGCAGCAAAGATGGAGGAAAAACATTCGTCTTCTAGCGATTTCGTTGAAATTTTTTCTCTCTATCTTTATGTCCAGAAGATAAATATTTTCTCGTAAAAATCAAACTTTATCTATTTTTAAAGCAAGTTTCCTATTTTGGATAAGCGAATAAATAGCAATAACAACAAGAATTGTTAATAGAAACGAGTCGTAGTTCCAGTAATAACTACATTTAAATAAACATTTACTTTTTTTTGCTATTTGGTTATCATTTCCTGTTCGAGATATAGAAATTCTATAAAATATATATATATGTGTGTGTGTGTGTATTTATATATTTTTTAAAATATAGAAAATTTCTATTTATATATAACTATATGCAATTTTCTTCGGGTTATATTGACGTTTGATATCTGTTCTGATATTTTTATCGTCATTCTCTACACTGGCGAAAGCATTAAGTGGAAATAACATTTTCAGAAAATATCGTGGATAAATTGGTTACAGTCACGCGACTAAAAGATAGATTTTTATTTTTTATTTTTCTAATCCTTAAAAATTTCATAAGGAAGAATTCGAAAATCGGAAATTTCCGGGGATGAAACTCTTTCCCCCATTTCAATATTTTCGCGTCATTCCGGTCGGATTTCTTTCACTCCCGACCCGTCGTCATGACAACCGGTACGTCCACGTGACCGGAACGATCCGGTCGATATCCAAAAGACACGACATTCCGGTAGCCCGGTATCCCGTTCGTTTTTGCTAGACACTCAGTCACCCAGTTCTGTCTAGCAACTTAGCATCACCAACACGCTAATTATCGTAGCGAACCCAACTGGTTAGATCTATAATTATACCTTTCAACGATTTGCCTTCCCCCTTTCTGTTGCCCGATACGCTCGAGAATGATTTTTATATTTGTTCTTTGTGTTCGTTTTTTTTAATTAAAGAAAACAGAAAAATCGCTTCGCATCTCGCTGCGAGCATCGATTCTCTAGTCACGTATCTCATCGACGTTTTAAAACGCCAACAACCGACTTTTAAAAGAAATAAAGATAGAAAGAGGTCGGTGAACTTGGGATACCACCCCGGTTGTGTCCTTGGATAGTTTTAATGCAGAGCGAGAACTGCCCCTTTAGCTTCTGACGATCGGAAAGGCTAGCGAGGAGCGATGCTATCACTCTTAATTAGAGCGACTCGCTCCCCACCCCTGTACTTTTTTTCCTCATCCATGTATAACATTTTAAGGTGTCACGACTCTCTCTTATTTATTTCATTTACGGTGAGACAGTTGGACGTTATGATTAATTTTTTTTCCCTTCATTCTTTTTCAGAACTGTCTGGCTAAAGCGCTGTACGACAATGCTGCAGAGGCACCGGACGAGTTGGCATTCCGCAAGAATGATATCCTGACAGTACTGGAGCAGAACCCCAACGGCTTGGAGGGATGGTGGTTGTGTTCGTTACGTGGAAGACAAGGGATCGCGCCGGGCAACAGGCTGAGACTCTTGCCAGGAATGTACGATCCCACGGGATTAGGATATGCCAGTGAAGGATGGACTTCGAGTGGCACCTATCCCGGCCCGGGGAACAGACATTCGAGACGTAGGAGCTGGCACATAAACCCCAATAAGGTAAACACGCTGGCTGATTCAACCTTTTTTTTTTAAAAAAATCTTTCTTCCCCTACCTACCGCGCCGTGTTTTTCAACTCGATTAGAGAATTTGCATAATTTCATTTTTCAATCATCTCGTTTGTTTTTTAAACTTTCTCGCTGCCTCGCGGTGTGACTGTGCAATTGATAAAACTAATTCCGATGTTACACCCTTTTTTTGCCATCGCGGTAATTAGATTTAAAGCTGAGGCTCGCTCCCTTAAAGAGCGATAAACAAATCTCGCATCGCAAACGGAAATTTAATATTAAATTAAAAAATTGGAGAAACTGCCTTATCTACAAAAATGCAGTTTCACCAGTGAAGGATTTTTTAGGGGACATTTTGTATTTTAATACGTAATCTCTCACTGTTTTGTTTCAGTAAATCAAAAGATTTTTCGGATTGGTTATTTATAACGGAGGTAAATTTTTGTATCACTTCCCGTGTATAACGCAAATGAAGTCTATGCCATATACTGTACAGTGGATTATCATTATAGCAAACTTTCAAATGGCCGTGCTAAATCATCCACTACGTAAGTCTACTGTTGGTTGCTGAAACATATTTAGAAACAAAAACATATTCTGTAACAAACTAGCGCGTATAACGTACAAATTAACAAGTGAAACACGAAACAATCTTCTAAAATCCGGAACGTAAATCAGTCTTTTAATTATTCCCCCATCCCTCTTTACATTCGATGCAGATGCTCCGGAGTGTAACTTGTTACTTGCAGATTGACGATTACGTAAACAAAAAAAAATGCCTCTTAATTAGGATACGTGTAAATATTTAATTTATCGAAGATTATTAGATAGTTTCGATTCCCGTACCCGAGAAATTCCTGATGTTTTAATTACAACTTCGTGAGGCTGATGTATATCTAAAAAATTTACTTTTCTGCTGCCTCTGCTCGCACGCGATCTGTCGCTTCTTTATCTAAAACCAAATCAGTCTTTCGGGAGGAAGCAGGAATTCGCGTCATTAAGGAAGCTTGGGGATACGTTTCTTCGCCTTGGGTATCGTTCATCACATTCAAACATATTTTTGCCCAATTTTCTTTCCAATTCACATTTTTAGTGCCCCCAATGGCCGATAAACAACGTCACTTGTTGTTTTTCTCGCTCTTCATAAATATCGTCTTATTCGGGTCTGATTTTTATTAGTTTACTCTTAGAGAATGCAAAAATTGATTCTGTTCGGGGACCTCCATTTTTTTTATAAGTGGGAATAGATTTTTAGAAAAACACGAATTTTTCGCGGCTTATTTTCTCGCTTTTGTTTTTATTGCTCCATTAGTAAATAAGGTAAGGTTCGAGAGGTGCAGAAGTGGGGTATTTTTTTCTTTTATTTTTTATTGCTCCATCGGAATAAATTTCTGACACGCCGTTAACGTTTTAAAGATAAACTCGTGTCTTTTCCACGTTCAGGTGATAAAACACGGATAAAAGACGAACTGCTTTTCCATTTTAATGGTGGCGATCGGGCTACCGCCATTCTTTAATTTTACCAGAGGGTGCGATTAAAGAAACTGTTCTGAAGCGAAATTCCCGTTATTCGCGCGATATCGGAAGTTTGCGTGTATATTTTTAAACTTTTTAAATATCATTCGAAGTTCTTTTCGATGTTTTTCTCAAGTATAAGAGATATATTCCTCTTCCCATTTCCGTTTTTGACGCAATTTAAGGAGTGTTTCTTCACGCGGAAAAATGACAAATTTACAGTTTTTAGGCTTTTATTAAGCGAAGAATCAACGGAATAGTTTCGTAGGTTTCGAGGGGAAAGGTTGTTAGAATTTTTTTTTTTAATTTCCGCTTCTGGATCCTCCAGGGAGAAGGCGTTTTTAAACATTCGCATTCGCGTTACTGGTTTCTGTAGGCGGCGGAATTTTTTTTCCGACAGCAAAGCGACGCTTTAAGGGATTATCCCCTACTTTAATGGTTGCTTAATAACGGCGCTGGCACCTTTTACTTGATGGCGTTTGGCGCCCAGGTTGCAGATAGATTGGCACAGTGCCAGTTAGTGCACCGCTCCGCCAATTACGTCACGTTCTGCTGCAATTAATTCTGCTTTTCGTCCTCGTCCATCCCCGTCGCTCGTTTTATTTACTTTTTAATTTCCTGCTGTTCCATCTCATATTTCCGCTCTTCTTCCACTCCATGTTTATTCATTTGCCACACTCTTTAATAAGTCAAGCTCTCCCTTTCCCTCCGACCCAACTGCTCTCTTCGCCAGGGATTCCGAAATTGAGTTTCCTCCCCCCCTTCCCTGGTAGAAATTATTAAATTTGACATTTCCTAGCTAATGAATTGTTATGAGCCAATACTTATATTATTTTCGTGTCTTAATTATTTGCTGAGTTCTATTGAAATTCGGTTTAAGAAGAAAATTATGTTTTGCTTCTCTATTATCTGAAACATGCACACATACTGTGTTTTCTTTATGTAATGTGTTCTTGTGCCCTTGCTTATAATAGCGACTGGTAGATCCACCTAGGCACTGACAGGTTGAAGGGTGTGTCGAGGAAACCATTTCAAACATAATGATTCTCTGGTATCATCAAACTGCTGACTTTTGAGGAATGAGGCATTATCTATAATCTAGATAATTTGAGGTTTTAGTGTGCATTCTCCATACAAGTTTTTTTTTTCCTGTCTGTATGTGATTATACATAAATTACCTTTGGGTATAACTGTTCATATGCAATTATCAAATTTCCTTTTATTATATGTATCATTCTGTAACGCTTTCCTGTTATTTATGACTTGTCAAATGAATGAATCAACAAGGAATTTCTGTAATGCTGTTTGCCAGATAATTTACCACTACAAACTATTAGAGCAACATAGTCCAGGAGACTCTTGCAACATTAAAATGTAAATCATTCAAAGTTGATTATTAATGTATAAACATTCACATTTTGTATAAATTACATCGGATAAGTTTACATTTTAAATACTAAGTTTTATGTAATAGCTCCTAGTTATTTTATCATTCTCTGACGTAGAAGTTAGATTTATTCTTCTCTCTCCGATAAAATAAATAAATAAAAAATAATGTTAGATTAGTTGTTTCAAAGGAAACCTGTTTGTTTATCTTGCTGTTCCTATTTTCCTTGTACTTACCATATCTATTAATCTTTTTAAGTTAAAAACTAAATTATAAAATTTAGCATACTGTTTTCCATTAGTGACAAACAACTTTATAACCTTCTTTTTTTCTGTGCACTTTAGATATTCAATATTATTACTCTATAATAGTTATATGAGTAAAATAATATAAGATGCAATTCATTTTTAAATTAAATGAATGAACTTATTGAAAGATAAGAAATTTTATAGTTTTGCACGTTTAATGCCCTTGAAAAATGAAGATACACTGAAAATTCATTAATGTGATAGAAAAATACCAATATTGAATTTAGTTTTTTCAGTTAACTTAAAAATTGAAAAGTATAAAGTTGTTTTCATTGTTTTATTAATGATTGAACAAACATACTATTAATACTATTAACATATATTTTTAAAAATATTCAAATATTTATAAAGTAAATAATTTTTATTATTTCTATTTCTTTTCATAAATCTAGCACAAAAATGTTTATAATTACTGTTTTTAATTTTTACAATGTACTTCTTTGTGAAGTCATTTACATCACAAACAATATAATTATAATTGTTTGATGTCTCATTAAAAATTCTTCTCCTAACAAGTTTTTGTTAAAGAAAAAGTTGGACTGATTCATTCATAAGTTTCTAATTGGGGTCATATCAATAAAGAGGTCTGTTCTACTAATTGAAATTTCCACTTTCAATAAAGCAGTTTGGATAACGTCTTTCAGTCAAACCAGTCAATCAATCACCTAACTGATTAGGACTCTCATTCTATCTCTGTTGAAAAATTGTCTTATAACATATAAGTTTAAGATAAAGTAATGCATGGGTAAAATAAAAATTATTAACTCTTAACATGTTTTATAGCTTTTGAAACTTGATTTTATAATGATTAAAATTATTATAAAATTTAAATTTTTTTTAACAGTATCTTTAATAATAACTCATTATTTAAAGAGAGACATTTTTACATTATAGGCCTGCCTGATTCATTGTAATAACTACTGTATGTAAAAAAAAAAAAACCATTTAGTTTCTCTCTAAACCTTGTTTGGCAACTACCGTATTTTTTGCCGTATAAGACGCACCCAATTTTAAAGGAGGCAAATTCAGAAAAAAAAAGATTATGAACCAAATTCTGTAGTAAAATATTTTATATCAACTGTATAAAGTTAACAGCAGTTAAGAAAAATTTTATGTCAACCATGTAACATACTAAGAGCTATCTTTACTATCATAAACAGTCAGCAAACAGTGAAAGTAACAAAAATAAGGCTGTCATGTTTTTATTCTAACCCCAAGAATTCCTCTTCTTTGCTGCTATCAGAAATGAGGAAGGACAGATCCACGCAGTCATTGTCATCACTTTCTTTCTCACTGGTGTCAAATAAGACGTCGTCTTCTGTTCCATCCAAGGCATTACTAATGCCACACTTCTTGAATGATTTTACAACAATGTCTTTCTTTACGGAGTCCCATGACCTTTTAACCCATTCACACACTTGTGTGATAGTGGGCCTCTTCATCCGTCCAGTAGGAGTCAGATCATGGTTCCCAGCTGCCATCCAGGTGTTCCACTCCTCTCGCATCAGAACTTTGAACGGTTTGTTAATAGAAACGTCCAGAGGTTGCAGCTGGCTGGTAAGACCACCAGGAATCACAGCTATTTGGGTCTTAATTTCCTTAAAGTTCTTTTTAGTAGTTTCTGTAATGTGCGCTCTGAACTGGTCAAGCACCAACAAGGAAGATTTCTTCAGAAGCCCGCCAGGACGTTTAGACCACACTTTATCAATCCACAGCCTCATGCCATTTTCGTCCATCCACCCTTTATCATGAACGTGCACGATGACTCCCCGTGGAATTGTTTCTTTTGGGAATGTTTTTCTTTTAAAGATCAACATTGGCGGCAGTTTGGTACCATCTGCACAGCAGGACAGCACAACCGAGTAGTGGGTTTTCTCATGCCCTGAGGTTTTTACGGTTATGCTTTTGGCTCCTTTGTTATCTACGGTTCTGTTAGACGGCACATCAAATGTTAGCGGGACTTCATCCATGTTCCCAATCTGGCTCATTTCAAAGTTATTCTTCTTCCTCGCATCAATAACAAACTTATGAAAAGACAGAATCTTTGATTCGTATTCCTTTGGCATTTTTTGTGCAATTCTGGTTTTGGTGCGCATAGAAAGGCCAGATCTCTTCATAAATCTATAGCACCACGATGGTGATCCGGTGAAATCCTGAATGCCTTTCTCCACAGCAATGCGTTTGGCCTCATAGATTATCATTTTTGTTGAGACAGAAAGTCCATTTTGCCGGTGACGTGTGATCCACTCCTTTACTTCTACCTCTAACTCTGGCCACTTTGCAGTTGGTCCACGCAAAGTGTGCTTGCTTTTATCCAACTTTTGGNATACCGTATTTTTCGCCGTATAAGACGCACCGGCATATAAGACGCACCCAATTTTAAAGGAGGCAAATTCAGAAAAAAAAAGATTATGAACCAAATTCTGTAGTAAAATATTTTATATCAACTGTATAAAGTTAACAGCAGTTAAGAAAAATTTTATGTCAACCATGTAACATACTAAGAGCTATCTTTACTATCATAAACAGTCTCTTCTGCTTTGACATCTTGATGGGGTGGTATGAAATATGATATATTTCATTCAGATATACCATACTACATATATCACTGCTATTAGCTGAGCGCAGAGACGAGTGCCTTCACCCGCTCCCGTGCTGGCTTACGAGACTCTAAAAAGTGCACAAAGCCAGCGCGGGAGAGAGCGAAGGCACGTGCCTCTTCGCCCAGCCAATCGCAGTGCGAGGCAAAGACCGCACAAAGCCAGTGCGAGGCAGAGCGGAGCTTCCTGGTATCAGACGGCGCCAAGAGGTGGAAGGGAATGGAGTGGCCGAGTATTCCTGCGGTTATGTATGTATGCAGAAGTGGAGGGGCAGCGGAGGGCCATGGTGAGCTTTTGTATTTGCCTTATAAGACGCAGGCACTTTTTTCCCCCCGATTTTGGAGAGAAAAAGTGCGTCTTATATGGCGAAAAATACGGTACTTAATATATTTATTATATAAATTATACATTGTATAATAAATATAAATTTGCATAAAATAATTTTTCATTTTGTACAAAGTAATTTATAATATAAAATGGAATATTTTATCTTTCTATGTTTGGTTTTTATTTATAATTGCAGTAATATACAAGATATAAATAATTTAAAGAAATTAGTATTATTGTTATGCTCATAGAAAAAAAAAACTAAAGATTTCTCTTAACTGCACGTCCTGTAATAAATGTACTGACAAATTCCAAGAAAAATCAAATAATCTATAAAGATAAATGTTGTCATTATATGTTAGTATGAGATGTTTATTATGTGATATACAAACGTTAAAATTTTCTTGCAAGTATTTAAAATTACTGCTATTTGTAGTTGAATGAATCTTGGACAAATCTAATGTCTGCTTGCTTTGGGATAAGATTCTAAAAATAATTCTAATGGCAGTTAAGTTATAATCATCATGCAAGTTTCTTTATACAGCTATACCCATTATCCAAATCTAATGCACTCCTGAAAATAAGTAAAAAAAAAAAAAAAAAAATTAAGATATCCAGAAGTATTTTCCATTATTTCTTACAGGAAAATTTAACTCATTCTTGGTCGTTCAAGTAACATCAACCAATTTTCCCAAATGACACAAACAGTGGAAAAACCTACCTATCTATCAATCCACGTTTTTAGCATGATATTAAACATTAAAAACTCTCTAATTACCTTAGTAACAAACACTTAATGAGGTCATTAAAGAATGTCTGTAAGCAGTAATGAAAGAAATAAGTTTGTTTAGTACTCCAATTAGAAATTGTATAGAAATTTTGTTTTCTTTAATATGTATTAGACAGCAATGAAAATGTTGTAATAATATTGTACATTTTAAAATATCATTGGATGAAAACAGAACATTAATGAAAGTAAACAAATGAGATAGTGAACCAACTATAATGAACTGTTAAGAATAAACTCATAAGATTGTACTGAAATTTTGGGATAAAAATCAGCAAACTGCACAGACATGTATGTAATTAAAACAAAAACTAATTCTGGGAACAGAGATGCTTCCTACTTCTCACTTTTAGAAGTAACACAAGAGTATAGCTATATTTTGATTTTTATGTGAAGATTTGTGCTTCAGTATTTTTGTACGTTGTGTAAAAGGAAATTATTTGAATTAAGAAAAGCTTCTATCAATTAACAACAAAATTTTATTACTTTTATCAGTAAAATGATTTGCTATTGTGGTGAATTGCTTTATCTACAAGAATTAATTAGAGTGTATGTGTTTTGATTTTGTTTTCAGACTATTTGAATTTTATATATGTTCCATTTTGAAATTGAACTATATTTTATAGCTGGGTTGTAATGAATGATGTTTTTGTTGCTTTATTTTATACATTAATTAATTAAATTAATAAACTTTTTACAGTTTGATTTGTTGCATTGCTTCATTATTTGTGAATATTGTCTATATCATCAATATTATCTTGTAAAATGTGCTATTTTTGATCTAAAATGTAGTCATGAATCTTTTATTATTGGAAAATAAATCTTCATATACTAGAAAATAATGTTTTTTTTCCCCCCTCAAATGCAAACTATAAATGTCTTGACTTTGTTTTCCATGCAATATTTTTTGAACATGAGATTAAAGTTATATTTTATTTATAGTTGATTTTGTATAATAATGAGGAATAACATTTGGCATAGAAAGATAGTCTGTTTTGTATGTTGTTTATATTTCTTTTTATATGTATGAGGCTTCTAAATGAGGAAGAGGAAACCTTTCAATGAAAGATTTTAGATAGTATCTAATGGCTTTGTAAGTATTATTGTTACTTTTTTTCTGAAACTATCTAAATATATCTTTAAAAACTTGCAAAACAACAAATAATAAATGGATTGATGTATTATTACTTTTTGTTCTTATTGTTCAGTTGTGACTTTAATGTACAGTTAAATGTGCATTTAGGCTTTATATAATTGAAGGACAGTAGTATAAAGACTTTCCCTTTTACTTAACATTTACATTTATTTAAAAGAAAACATATTACATATTACAATACTATAAAACTTAATGTGAGAGTTAAAACAAACAAATTTATTTATGGAAATAAATTCAGTAATTTAAATGGAAAGTTTTGAGACCTGTCAGAAACAGTCTTTTAAAAATCTATTGCTTACACTAATTAAAATTTGAATCATTAATAATTAATCATGTAATGTTTAACATTAAAATTATATAAGTTATTGCAATTGATTTTAGTATTTTGTTGATAATTATTTAAGTTTAAAATCATTACTTGCTAATTAATATCCAAAGAATTTTGTCATTTCATAACATGAAAATCTGATTTGATTACATTCAGTTTAGAAAGGTAGAATAATCAAATCAGTTGTATTTTAAATTGAATTTATTCAAATGAAAGTTAGATTCATTAAACTTTCAATACTGATAATTTAATCTTAAGTTTTCAGTATTATTTTTAAGTAGTGAGTATTATTTTCAAGTAGCATTCTCTTGAAAATACCAATTTATCAAATAATTCTAAAGAAATTTTCCTGTTTCAGTACATATGTTAATATTGTATTAAAATTTAACTTAATTACATTAGGTTATCACTCCACAGAAGATTGGAGATGTCTATTTATATGATGTACCAGTTGGTCATAAAAGTGTGGAACCCAGTGAGACTCCTCACTCATCAACGTTACCAAATCGAAGATTTTTACAACCAAATATTGTTGCACAGAATCTCCAAGGTATGCTTAATACTATTTTATCATAGAGAATTTAATTTAATAAATACTTAAATCTGTATAGAAATATTTATTTAAACCACGAAGAAAATATAAAATTTCAATAGTATTGAAACTTAAATTATCCTTATTTGCAATATTTAAGGATTAATATTAGTAGTTGTCCTTGAATAACAAGTTTGATTATCAACAGTTTTTAATAAGAACACACCCTTGTTTTATTTCACACCTGCAAATGAAAATTCATAGAATTAAGTCAGTTTTTCTATTATTATATAATGATATTTTAAATTAGATTATAAACTTTATCTTTACATTTTTTATGAGAATTTTTTTATTACCATTAACTAATTATTATTATTATACTGGTTTTTTACATAAGTATACAAAATTGCTTATTTAAAATTTTATAAAATTATAAAAAATAAATAAATATTTTTAAGTCATTATGTAATATTCAACTGTATTACAAAAGGTACTGTTATTTTGTCAGTAATGAATTTAAATTATTTTAATTTCCTTTAAAAATTTTTATGTAGGTGGTAGTTATGATACTCCTCCAAGCCCAAGATTAGTAAAGACGCAGGAAGCCTACGATGAACCTCGGCCTCTCGCTCAGTGTTTTGGAATACCTCCTCCTCCTGATATATCTGCTCTTGATGAACAGAGATCACATACTTCGGTGTCATCAGATTCTTCGACAATAAGCAGTACTTACAGCATTCCAAAAAGTCATGATTATGATGTACCTAGTTCGGAAGATAGTGGGACTTATGATGTTCCAGCACCATCAAGGCACACCTCTACTACAGATAGTTTGTCACTTTCTGATACTTACGATATTCCTACGTCAAAACTTATTTGTGACATTCCTGCATCTAATAGGTCAAGTGGTGTGTCTGTTCTTTCAGCTAGTTCTTCCTCATTTTTCTCACCATCTAGTGGACATTCAAGTTTGAGTCCTTCATTATCTTTATCTAGTTTATGTGGTTCCAATAGATCCAGTCTAGAACAGCATTCCCATGAACTCTATGACATTCCACCTCCTGAACCAAGACCAATAGCCAATCTTAAGGGATCACCAGCCAAAACAAATATTATTCAATCTTCAATTCCAACACTTTCTCATGTAAGTATTAATGAAGTTTATGACATTCCTGCTAATAATGCTCCAACAGAATGCTATGATGTTCCTCCAGCTCCAAAACTTGCACAGGCTCCATCATTGGAAGGTGTATATGATGTGCCACCTCAAGTTACACGGGACACCAGTCCTACACCAGTGGCTCTAGAAGAAAATTTAGAAAATAGGCTTACAGTTAGTAAAGATCCAGGTATTACAAAAGACATACAATCTTTAAAAGGAAAAGAATTATTACTAGATTTGGATGCAGCTATGGAAATATTAGTAAAATTACAACAAGAAGTACAAAGTGCCATATCAAAGTTATTTAGCTTCATTAGTGCTAGCTGGAGGAGGAAAGATGTAATGGATAATAAAATTAATGATATTCAAGTAGCTTGTTATAAAATTGATGCCAGTCTAAAAGAATTTTTAAATTTTTCACATGGTGCTTTGGCTAATTCAACTCATGCAGCTGATAAAACTTTATCTTGTAAATTGGCAAATTTACTCAAACCTTTGGTTGACTCAAGCCAAATAGTTCAAGTATCAATTCAAGCTCTAGATAATAAAGGTTGGCAAGTTTCAAAATTTATATCATCTGATGATACAAATAATCCCGACGAATTGGACCAATTAGTTGCCTGTGCTCAGGGTATAATTGAAGATGTACGACCAGTGGCATCATTCATTAGAGGAAATTCTGTTCTTATTTTCAAACGTTCACAGCACATAAATGAAACAAAGAAACCACCCATTGCACCAAAACCAACTGACCTCAAAGCAAAATTGGAATTTCAGAAATTATCTTCAATGAACAAACTTCAAGAAAGGCCGCTTCCTTTACCACCTCCAAATAAAAGTCATTTGTCTGAGAAAAGTTCTTTCCCGTCAAGTGAAGTCAAAGATGTTGTAAATGACTATGAATATGTTAATCTTGAATCCAAAGACTCTGTTGAAAAATCAAATAAGTGTTTAAGGACAGACAGTAATAAAACAGATGAGAAAATCGAGAATGTAATTGAACAGTCAGAAAACATGAAAGATAAAGTAATACAACCACCACCAAAGTTGCTCGACACAAAAGATGTACAGATGCTGCAATTTTATAGTGCTCAAGCAGAATCTCATGTTCTGTATCTTACAAATGCAATTGATGGCTTTCTGTCAGCTATAGAAAACAACCAACCTCCCAAAGTTTTCATTGGGCATAGTAAATTTGTTGTGATCAGTGCTCATAAATTAGTATATATTGGTGATACTGTTCAGTGTCATGTTACAAACCAAACAGTGAAATCTCAAGTAATGCAGTGTGCAAATAATTTATGTGATTCCTTAAAAACATTGGTAGCTAATACAAAGAAAGCAGCTTTACAGTTTCCTTCAGTTGCAGCTGTTCAAGAAATGGTTGACAGTGTTGTAGATGTTTCCCATCTTGCTAATGATCTCAGAATGATCATTCTTCAGGCAGCAGAACTTTAATATTGTCTGTAAAAGTGATAATTCTTTTTATACATATTTTCATGAACTTTCGAATTTTATTAAGTATTTTCAATTTCAAGAGAGATCATTAATTAACTGGTGCAATGTAACAATAATTATTATTATGTAAATTTCCTCCCAAAATTTTCAAATTGTTTCCTCACAGAGAATGTGATAAATATTTCAAAAGCTGCCATATTAGAAATAGCATTTTATTTACTTTGTTTTATGTTTTATTGAGGAGTTGAATCTTTTATTTTTATTATTTTTTTTTATATATATAATAGTTGCCATTTTCAAATAGTTGTTAATACATTCACCTGTTGATAGTATGAATAGACTTTATCAAAATATCACTAAATGGGGTTAAATTGTGATTTATTATTTTTGAGACAGTTTTATTTGAAAGCGGTATTCAGAACTACGACAACTGATTTGCCTGATTTTTTTTAAGCAAGAATACCCGAACAAAGCAATTGTTTTAAATCAATTCTCTGTTATTGCTGTACAATTTTAAAAATTTAGAAATTAATTTTTATTCTGGAAATATTGGTGTTTTGTTTTAATAAAACTAGATTGGGAGTCCTAATTGCATATTTGTGATCAAAATTTTGATTTTATTATTTATAAATAGTTTAAAAAAATTATATAAATATATACAAAAAAAATAAATTTTTTTTCTTTTCAATACTTAAAACTGACCAAAATTATTTGCTTTCTTATTATTATTGAAAAATCTAGAGTAAATCTTGTATAGATTTTCTTCGTTTACACGTAAAGAAGAAGAAAATATTGTCTTCATGCAACTTTGATACTGTTATAAAAAGATCTAAAACAACAAATATTTATATTAAGCACTTGTATTATAAATACAATTATAACTTTACTAGAAAATACTGGATTCAAATTTGAGTTAGAATAAGTCTAAGAAAATATATTTGAAGCTGTAATAAAAGCACTTAATATAAATATTTATTTTTAGACACATGAAGTTTTTTTAAATTGTGTTATCAAATGAAAACAAATAGCTTTTTGTAAATCTATATTTGTCTCATTAGAACAGTAGAAGACATTATTTTTCTTCATTTTGTAACTAACACTTGATGTATAATACATTCATCTAATCTTTGTTTATTCTATTCAGTCTCTTACTGAAACACTCAAACTTAAAGAATTAATATAAATACAATTTATAAGTAACTATAAGTTAAAAGTAGTTTTCTAGTTCTAGAAATTTACCCTTTGCCATTGTCTTCAAAGAACATTAAAGATTGATTTCAGAAAAACTTCATTTAGTAAAATTTAAAAGCCAATACTTATTAAAATCAGTATCATTTTATTGAACTTAAAAATTTCAAAAAGTTTACAAATATTTTTAAAAAATTTATCCGCTCCTGTAAATGCTGTTATGTTATATAACACATTGATAATGCAGAGAAACTGATAGATTATATTAAATTTTTTTTAATTTAAAAAAAAAATAATTAATTTTTAAAGGATGAAAAGGCAATCATTTAGTTTTATAGATTTATAATCCTAAATCATAATTTGGTTCTCCTGTTTTGGTGCTTTTGATAAATTCAACGTGCATTTCGGGTGACAGAGATACCTTCTTTACGGCAGGATCGGCTTTCATCTTTTCCACCCATTTTGTTATCGTAGGAAAACGATCGGTTGGGAATTCTGAAAGTGAAGGATTTAAAGCTTGTGCTACTGGAATACGTTCAAACCAGGGCCATATCATATAATCCAGGATTCCTGGTTTGTCTCCTGAAAAACAAAGCAACAACAAGTGTAAATTTCTTTAAATATTATTAAATTCATAAAAATTTGTAAAAAAAGGTTGATTTTACCTCCAAAAAAGGTTGACTTTCTGTCTTTTAGTTCTTTTTCAAAATCATCTATGCTATTTATTAAATCATTCCACGCATCACCTGCACTGCTACCTCCTCTGGATACTTTAGACATTGCTAAAGTCACCTATTGATATAAATAGTCAAATATCTAAATCCAGATTTCTTTCAGGCTCTAATTAAGCTAAATATTAATCATTGAAACTAAGTAATTTGAACTGAAGGCAGGCAGTTAGGCCCCACCATCTTGTACTGTACAAATATTACTACAGTAAACCCTTGATTTAACAGACAAAAAATTTGCTCTATAGGAAGAATTTAAATCCTTTTTTTATTTGCAAACAAAGCACACTAAAAGTTGAATTAGAATCAATGAGTATAAATTATTTAATATATATTTATTTTATTTGTATTTTTATTTTATACTTAGACATTATATCATTTTTTGGCAATAGTGGACACCCTTTCCTCAATTATTCCATTAAATTGAGATTTTACAAAGAAATCTTACAGTAAATAGATCATTTTACCAACTTGGAGATGCCACTTTCATATAAAATAATTTGAAACAGTATAGTTAATGGAACAGAGTGCTGTAAGTTTAGTTTTAAAATTGAAAACAAATGTTTGAAGAGCATAAGACAACAAAATAAACTGCTTTACTTGATTTTAGTTTTATGCTCTTGGATATTTGTATTTAATGCACTATTGCATGTGTCAAGTTTATATTTGATCATTAATTTTCAATGCTAGGATGCTTTGTCAAAATGTATTTGATATACAGTATATTAAAGCAACATTGTTTTTAAAAAAATAATAATTATGGTGATATTGCATATAAAATGTTTATAGTAAATCTAGAAGAAAACAAAACAAAGTCAAAATTTCTTCTGAAAACATCTTGTGTAGTCAGTCCATTAGTGTAGTGTCATTAAGACATGGCATCTTTACCAAGTAAGCCAGAATTCTTTACTGATTTAGACATGAAGACAATTGGAATTGTACATTTACTAAAAACAATTAATTAATTATATTTAGTTTGAGCTAGATAAAAATCATTACCTTTCCAAACACTTCCATCACCATTCTATCTTTTGCCTTTTGATAAGGATCTTTAGCAGTAAGTTTGTTGTCCGGATAAATCTCATCTACGTAATCTGATGATATTATAGATTCTGCAACTAATTTTTTATCTTGTTCCAATATAGGGATTTTACCAAGAGGATGTTTCTCAAATAGCCACTCGGGTTTATCCTTCAAGTTAATATTAATCACTTCGTGTCTGTAAAGAAATACGATTAAAAAAAATTGACAGTTATCGGGAAAAAATAGTCAAAAATGATATTTCAGCATATGAACAAATATTGGTTGACAGTGCAAAATTTAATCTAGAAAGATTTATTTTTAAGTAAAAAAATAAAAATTTGATCTTTTGCCAGTTTGGCACTAAATTCAAACTAACATTTTTCTAACATTTAATTTCTCTTTTCTTACCTCTTATTTGAATTAAGAAAGTTTATTTAAGTTTACTGAAAATTTACTTACTACATAAATTACGTCATAAAAATAAGAAAATTTAACATTGAATTTTAATGGTTAGATTTAAAATTATTATACGTACATATATATATTATGTGTACGATAAAATTTAATTATATCATGTACACAATTACATAATTCTAGAAATAAATTTTAATTTATCTCTAGAATTGTATAATTGTATAGTTTAAATGAAAAAGTAACTTACGGTATATTTTTAGCAGCTAATACTAACAAAGTCCTTTCAGAAAACGGACAAAACCTCATACTGTACACCCTTAATTTTCCAGCTTCCAGTTTAGGGTATTCTGAACCTATTCAATAAAATATAAATTATATAGAACTTAAATAATTCAAAAATTGTCATTATTAAGAATGAAATATATCATTTTTACCTTTCGAATAGCATTTAGCTGTCATGTTGGGTTCTTGACTCTGAACTGAAGTGAGATCCGAGCTGCTTTGCTTCTATTTATAAAATGGGTGGAAATTCTAAAAATATTCTTGTTTCTCTTTTAACGGGGATTGGTAAAGTCCAAAGAGAATACCAAGCCAACAATATAAACGCTTGTCTAACAACTAACGTAAAATAACATCAGTTAAAACCTCTACTTTTTTTTTCCTGTTACATCTGCCTTTCTAAACCGATTTTTCTCAATTTGATTGATAATTTCACAGTCCACGTACAATAATTGCAGGAAATTATTAGACAATGTATAATGACTCACTTGCCAGTTAAAAAATTTTGTTCCAATCAAGAGGATAAGTACTGCATTACAATTATGAAAAGAATTATAATTAATCCCTCGTGTTTTTTGATGATAACAGAAATCAATTCTGCACGTTCCATGAATGATATTTAGCTTAGAAACAATTGAAGATTGATATAAAATCTTTTGCGATTAAAAGCTGTAAATATTTACCACTAATCGTACANAAGATAAAGTAATGCATGGGTAAAATAAAAATTATTAACTCTTAACATGTTTTATAGCTTTTGAAACTTGATTTTATAATGATTAAAATTATTATAAAATTTAAATTTTTTTTAACAGTATCTTTAATAATAACTCATTATTTAAAGAGAGACATTTTTACATTATAGGCCTGCCTGATTCATTGTAATAACTACTGTATGTAAAAAAAAAAAAACCATTTAGTTTCTCTCTAAACCTTGTTTGGCAACTACCGTATTTTTTGCCGTATAAGACGCACCCAATTTTAAAGGAGGCAAATTCAGAAAAAAAAAGATTATGAACCAAATTCTGTAGTAAAATATTTTATATCAACTGTATAAAGTTAACAGCAGTTAAGAAAAATTTTATGTCAACCATGTAACATACTAAGAGCTATCTTTACTATCATAAACAGTCAGCAAACAGTGAAAGTAACAAAAATAAGGCTGTCATGTTTTTATTCTAACCCCAAGAATTCCTCTTCTTTGCTGCTATCAGAAATGAGGAAGGACAGATCCACGCAGTCATTGTCATCACTTTCTTTCTCACTGGTGTCAAATAAGACGTCGTCTTCTGTTCCATCCAAGGCATTACTAATGCCACACTTCTTGAATGATTTTACAACAATGTCTTTCTTTACGGAGTCCCATAACCTTTTAACCCATTCACACACTTGTGTGATAGTGGGCCTCTTCATCCATCCAATAGGAGTCAGATCATGGTTCCCAGCTGCCATCCAGGTGTTCCACTCCTCTCGCATCAGAACTTTGAACGGTTTGTTAATAGAAACGTCCAGAGGTTGCAGCTGGCTGGTAAGACCACCAGGAATCACAGCTATTTGGGTCTTAATTTCCTTAAAGTTCTTTTTAGTAGTTTCTGTAATGTGCGCTCTGAACTGGTCAAGCACCAACAAGGAAGATTTCTTCAGAAGCCCGCCAGGACGTTTAGACCACACTTTATCAATCCACAGCCTCATGCCATTTTCGTCCATCCACCCTTTATCATGAACGTGCACGATGACTCCCCGTGGAATTGTTTCTTTTGGGAATGTTTTTCTTTTAAAGATCAACATTGGCGGCAGTTTGGTACCATCTGCACAGCAGGACAGCACAACCGAGTAGTGGGTTTTCTCATGCCCTGAGGTTTTTACGGTTATGCTTTTGGCTCCTTTGTTATCTATGGTTCTGTTAGACGGCACATCAAATGTTAGCGGGACTTCATCCATGTTCCCAATCTGGCTCATTTCAAAGTTATTCTTCTTCCTCGCATCAATAACAAACTTATGAAAAGACAGAATCTTTGATTCGTATTCCTTTGGCATTTTTTGTGCAATTCTGGTTTTGGTGCGCATAGAAAGGCCAGATCTCTTCATAAATCTATAGCACCACGATGGTGATCCGGTGAAATCCTGAATGCCTTTCTCCACAGCAATGCGTTTGGCCTCATAGATTATCATTTTTGTTGAGACAGAAAGTCCATTTTGCCGGTGACGTGTGATCCACTCCTTTACTTCTACCTCTAACTCTGGCCACTTTGCAGTTGGTCCACGCAAAGTGTGCTTGCTTTTATCCAACTTTTGGAGCTGATCCTCCTGTTTCCTCCACTCTCTTATCATTTTCTCAGTTGGAGGTGGCCCAAAGTGTCTCTCACCTGCTCTGTTTCCATGCTCCTTAGCAAATTTTATTACTTCCAGCTTAAAAGCAACTTTATATGCCAGTCTCTTCTGCTTTGACATCTTGATGGGGTGGTATGAAATATGATATATTTCATTCAGATATACCATACTACATATATCACTGCTATTAGCTGAGCGCAGAGACGAGTGCCTTCACCCGCTCCCGTGCTGGCTTACGAGACTCTAAAAAGTGCACAAAGCCAGCGCGGGAGAGAGCGAAGGCACGTGCCTCTTCGCCCAGCCAATCGCAGCGCGAGGCAAAGACCGCACAAAGCCAGTGCGAGGCAGAGCGGAGCTTCCTGGTATCAGACGGCGCCAAGAGGTGGAAGGGAACGGAGTGGCCGAGTATTCCTGCGGTTATGTATGTATGCAGAAGTGGAGGGGCAGCGGAGGGCCATGGTGGGCTTTTGTATTTGCCGTATAAGACGCAGGCACTTTTTTCCCCCCGATTTTGGAGAGAAAAAGTGCGTCTTATATGGCGAAAAATACGGTACTTAATATATTTATTATATAAATTATACATTGTATAATAAATATAAATTTGCATAAAATAATTTTTCATTTTGTACAAAGTAATTTATAATATAAAATGGAATATTTTATCTTTCTATGTTTGGTTTTTATTTATAATTGCAGTAATATACAAGATATAAATAATTTAAAGAAATTAGTATTATTGTTATGCTCATAGAAAAAAAAACTAAAGATTTCTCTTAACTGCACGTCCTGTAATAAATGTACTGACAAATTCCAAGAAAAATCAAATAATCTATAAAGATAAATGTTGTCATTATATGTTAGTATGAGATGTTTATTATGTGATATACAAACGTTAAAATTTTCTTGCAAGTATTTAAAATTACTGCTATTTGTAGTTGAATGAATCTTGGACAAATCTAATGTCTGCTTGCTTTGGGATAAGATTCTAAAAATAATTCTAATGGCAGTTAAGTTATAATCATCATGCAAGTTTCTTTATACAGCTATACCCATTATCCAAATCTAATGCACTCCTGAAAATAAGTAAAAAAAAAAAAAAAAAAATTAAGATATCCAGAAGTATTTTCCATTATTTCTTACAGGAAAATTTAACTCATTCTTGGTCGTTCAAGTAACATCAACCAATTTTCCCAAATGACACAAACAGTGGAAAAACCTACCTATCTATCAATCCACGTTTTTAGCATGATATTAAACATTAAAAACTCTCTAATTACCTTAGTAACAAACACTTAATGAGGTCATTAAAGAATGTCTGTAAGCAGTAATGAAAGAAATAAGTTTGTTTAGTACTCCAATTAGAAATTGTATAGAAATTTTGTTTTCTTTAATATGTATTAGACAGCAATGAAAATGTTGTAATAATATTGTACATTTTAAAATATCATTGGATGAAAACAGAACATTAATGAAAGTAAACAAATGAGATAGTGAACCAACTATAATGAACTGTTAAGAATAAACTCATAAGATTGTACTGAAATTTTGGGATAAAAATCAGCAAACTGCACAGACATGTATGTAATTAAAACAAAAACTAATTCTGGGAACAGAGATGCTTCCTACTTCTCACTTTTAGAAGTAACACAAGAGTATAGCTATATTTTGATTTTTATGTGAAGATTTGTGCTTCAGTATTTTTGTACGTTGTGTAAAAGGAAATTATTTGAATTAAGAAAAGCTTCTATCAATTAACAACAAAATTTTATTACTTTTATCAGTAAAATGATTTGCTATTGTGGTGAATTGCTTTATCTACAAGAATTAATAAGAGTGTATGTGTTTTGATTTTGTTTTCAGACTATTTGAATTTTATATATGTTCCATTTTGAAATTGAACTATATTTTATAGCTGGGTTGTAATGAATGATGTTTTTGTTGCTTTATTTTATACATTAATTAATTAAATTAATAAACTTTTTACAGTTTGATTTGTTGCATTGCTTCATTATTTGTGAATATTGTCTATATCATCAATATTATCTTGTAAAATGTGCTATTTTTGATCTAAAATGTAGTCATGAATCTTTTATTATTGGAAAATAAATCTTCATATACTAGAAAATAATGTTTTTTTTCCCCCCTCAAATGCAAACTATAAATGTCTTGACTTTGTTTTCCATGCAATATTTTTTGAACATGAGATTAAAGTTATATTTTATTTATAGTTGATTTTGTATAATAATGAGGAATAACATTTGGCATAGAAAGATAGTCTGTTTTGTATGTTGTTTATATTTCTTTTTATATGTATGAGGCTTCTAAATGAGGAAGAGGAAACCTTTCAATGAAAGATTTTAGATAGTATCTAATGGCTTTGTAAGTATTATTGTTACTTTTTTTCTGAAACTATCTAAATATATCTTTAAAAACTTGCAAAACAACAAATAATAAATGGATTGATGTATTATTACTTTTTGTTCTTATTGTTCAGTTGTGACTTTAATGTACAGTTAAATGTGCATTTAGGCTTTATATAATTGAAGGACAGTAGTATAAAGACTTTCCCTTTTACTTAACATTTACATTTATTTAAAAGAAAACATATTACATATTACAATACTATAAAACTTAATGTGAGAGTTAAAACAAACAAATTTATTTATGGAAATAAATTCAGTAATTTAAATGGAAAGTTTTGAGACCTGTCAGAAACAGTCTTTTAAAAATCTATTGCTTACACTAATTAAAATTTGAATCATTAATAATTAATCATGTAATGTTTAACATTAAAATTATATAAGTTATTGCAATTGATTTTAGTATTTTGTTGATAATTATTTAAGTTTAAAATCATTACTTGCTAATTAATATCCAAAGAATTTTGTCATTTCATAACATGAAAATCTGATTTGATTACATTCAGTTTAGAAAGGTAGAATAATCAAATCAGTTGTATTTTAAATTGAATTTATTCAAATGAAAGTTAGATTCATTAAACTTTCAATACTGATAATTTAATCTTAAGTTTTCAGTATTATTTTTAAGTAGTGAGTATTATTTTCAAGTAGCATTCTCTTGAAAATACCAATTTATCAAATAATTCTAAAGAAATTTTCCTGTTTCAGTACATATGTTAATATTGTATTAAAATTTAACTTAATTACATTAGGTTATCACTCCACAGAAGATTGGAGATGTCTATTTATATGATGTACCAGTTGGTCATAAAAGTGTGGAACCCAGTGAGACTCCTCACTCATCAACGTTACCAAATCGAAGATTTTTACAACCAAATATTGTTGCACAGAATCTCCAAGGTATGCTTAATACTATTTTATCATAGAGAATTTAATTTAATAAATACTTAAATCTGTATAGAAATATTTATTTAAACCACGAAGAAAATATAAAATTTCAATAGTATTGAAACTTAAATTATCCTTATTTGCAATATTTAAGGATTAATATTAGTAGTTGTCCTTGAATAACAAGTTTGATTATCAACAGTTTTTAATAAGAACACACCCTTGTTTTATTTCACACCTGCAAATGAAAATTCATAGAATTAAGTCAGTTTTTCTATTATTATATAATGATATTTTAAATTAGATTATAAACTTTATCTTTACATTTTTTATGAGAATTTTTTTATTACCATTAACTAATTATTATTATTATACTGGTTTTTTACATAAGTATACAAAATTGCTTATTTAAAATTTTATAAAATTATAAAAAATAAATAAATATTTTTAAGTCATTATGTAATATTCAACTGTATTACAAAAGGTACTGTTATTTTGTCAGTAATGAATTTAAATTATTTTAATTTCCTTTAAAAATTTTTATGTAGGTGGTAGTTATGATACTCCTCCAAGCCCAAGATTAGTAAAGACGCAGGAAGCCTACGATGAACCTCGGCCTCTCGCTCAGTGTTTTGGAATACCTCCTCCTCCTGATATATCTGCTCTTGATGAACAGAGATCACATACTTCGGTGTCATCAGATTCTTCGACAATAAGCAGTACTTACAGCATTCCAAAAAGTCATGATTATGATGTACCTAGTTCGGAAGATAGTGGGACTTATGATGTTCCAGCACCATCAAGGCACACCTCTACTACAGATAGTTTGTCACTTTCTGATACTTACGATATTCCTACGTCAAAACTTATTTGTGACATTCCTGCATCTAATAGGTCAAGTGGTGTGTCTGTTCTTTCAGCTAGTTCTTCCTCATTTTTCTCACCATCTAGTGGACATTCAAGTTTGAGTCCTTCATTATCTTTATCTAGTTTATGTGGTTCCAATAGATCCAGTCTAGAACAGCATTCCCATGAACTCTATGACATTCCACCTCCTGAACCAAGACCAATAGCCAATCTTAAGGGATCACCAGCCAAAACAAATATTATTCAATCTTCAATTCCAACACTTTCTCATGTAAGTATTAATGAAGTTTATGACATTCCTGCTAATAATGCTCCAACAGAATGCTATGATGTTCCTCCAGCTCCAAAACTTGCACAGGCTCCATCATTGGAAGGTGTATATGATGTGCCACCTCAAGTTACACGGGACACCAGTCCTACACCAGTGGCTCTAGAAGAAAATTTAGAAAATAGGCTTACAGTTAGTAAAGATCCAGGTATTACAAAAGACATACAATCTTTAAAAGGAAAAGAATTATTACTAGATTTGGATGCAGCTATGGAAATATTAGTAAAATTACAACAAGAAGTACAAAGTGCCATATCAAAGTTATTTAGCTTCATTAGTGCTAGCTGGAGGAGGAAAGATGTAATGGATAATAAAATTAATGATATTCAAGTAGCTTGTTATAAAATTGATGCCAGTCTAAAAGAATTTTTAAATTTTTCACATGGTGCTTTGGCTAATTCAACTCATGCAGCTGATAAAACTTTATCTTGTAAATTGGCAAATTTACTCAAACCTTTGGTTGACTCAAGCCAAATAGTTCAAGTATCAATTCAAGCTCTAGATAATAAAGGTTGGCAAGTTTCAAAATTTATATCATCTGATGATACAAATAATCCCGACGAATTGGACCAATTAGTTGCCTGTGCTCAGGGTATAATTGAAGATGTACGACCAGTGGCATCATTCATTAGAGGAAATTCTGTTCTTATTTTCAAACGTTCACAGCACATAAATGAAACAAAGAAACCACCCATTGCACCAAAACCAACTGACCTCAAAGCAAAATTGGAATTTCAGAAATTATCTTCAATGAACAAACTTCAAGAAAGGCCGCTTCCTTTACCACCTCCAAATAAAAGTCATTTGTCTGAGAAAAGTTCTTTCCCGTCAAGTGAAGTCAAAGATGTTGTAAATGACTATGAATATGTTAATCTTGAATCCAAAGACTCTGTTGAAAAATCAAATAAGTGTTTAAGGACAGACAGTAATAAAACAGATGAGAAAATCGAGAATGTAATTGAACAGTCAGAAAACATGAAAGATAAAGTAATACAACCACCACCAAAGTTGCTCGACACAAAAGATGTACAGATGCTGCAATTTTATAGTGCTCAAGCAGAATCTCATGTTCTGTATCTTACAAATGCAATTGATGGCTTTCTGTCAGCTATAGAAAACAACCAACCTCCCAAAGTTTTCATTGGGCATAGTAAATTTGTTGTGATCAGTGCTCATAAATTAGTATATATTGGTGATACTGTTCAGTGTCATGTTACAAACCAAACAGTGAAATCTCAAGTAATGCAGTGTGCAAATAATTTATGTGATTCCTTAAAAACATTGGTAGCTAATACAAAGAAAGCAGCTTTACAGTTTCCTTCAGTTGCAGCTGTTCAAGAAATGGTTGACAGTGTTGTAGATGTTTCCCATCTTGCTAATGATCTCAGAATGATCATTCTTCAGGCAGCAGAACTTTAATATTGTCTGTAAAAGTGATAATTCTTTTTATACATATTTTCATGAACTTTCGAATTTTATTAAGTATTTTCAATTTCAAGAGAGATCATTAATTAACTGGTGCAATGTAACAATAATTATTATTATGTAAATTTCCTCCCAAAATTTTCAAATTGTTTCCTCACAGAGAATGTGATAAATATTTCAAAAGCTGCCATATTAGAAATAGCATTTTATTTACTTTGTTTTATGTTTTATTGAGGAGTTGAATCTTTTATTTTTATTATTTTTTTTTATATATATAATAGTTGCCATTTTCAAATAGTTGTTAATACATTCACCTGTTGATAGTATGAATAGACTTTATCAAAATATCACTAAATGGGGTTAAATTGTGATTTATTATTTTTGAGACAGTTTTATTTGAAAGCGGTATTCAGAACTACGACAACTGATTTGCCTGATTTTTTTTAAGCAAGAATACCCGAACAAAGCAATTGTTTTAAATCAATTCTCTGTTATTGCTGTACAATTTTAAAAATTTAGAAATTAATTTTTATTCTGGAAATATTGGTGTTTTGTTTTAATAAAACTAGATTGGGAGTCCTAATTGCATATTTGTGATCAAAATTTTGATTTTATTATTTATAAATAGTTTAAAAAAATTATATAAATATATACAAAAAAAATAAATTTTTTTTCTTTTCAATACTTAAAACTGACCAAAATTATTTGCTTTCTTATTATTATTGAAAAATCTAGAGTAAATCTTGTATAGATTTTCTTCGTTTACACGTAAAGAAGAAGAAAATATTGTCTTCATGCAACTTTGATACTGTTATAAAAAGATCTAAAACAACAAATATTTATATTAAGCACTTGTATTATAAATACAATTATAACTTTACTAGAAAATACTGGATTCAAATTTGAGTTAGAATAAGTCTAAGAAAATATATTTGAAGCTGTAATAAAAGCACTTAATATAAATATTTATTTTTAGACACATGAAGTTTTTTTAAATTGTGTTATCAAATGAAAACAAATAGCTTTTTGTAAATCTATATTTGTCTCATTAGAACAGTAGAAGACATTATTTTTCTTCATTTTGTAACTAACACTTGATGTATAATACATTCATCTAATCTTTGTTTATTCTATTCAGTCTCTTACTGAAACACTCAAACTTAAAGAATTAATATAAATACAATTTATAAGTAACTATAAGTTAAAAGTAGTTTTCTAGTTCTAGAAATTTACCCTTTGCCATTGTCTTCAAAGAACATTAAAGATTGATTTCAGAAAAACTTCATTTAGTAAAATTTAAAAGCCAATACTTATTAAAATCAGTATCATTTTATTGAACTTAAAAATTTCAAAAAGTTTACAAATATTTTTAAAAAATTTATCCGCTCCTGTAAATGCTGTTATGTTATATAACACATTGATAATGCAGAGAAACTGATAGATTATATTAAATTTTTTTTAATTTAAAAAAAAAATAATTAATTTTTAAAGGATGAAAAGGCAATCATTTAGTTTTATAGATTTATAATCCTAAATCATAATTTGGTTCTCCTGTTTTGGTGCTTTTGATAAATTCAACGTGCATTTCGGGTGACAGAGATACCTTCTTTACGGCAGGATCGGCTTTCATCTTTTCCACCCATTTTGTTATCGTAGGAAAACGATCGGTTGGGAATTCTGAAAGTGAAGGATTTAAAGCTTGTGCTACTGGAATACGTTCAAACCAGGGCCATATCATATAATCCAGGATTCCTGGTTTGTCTCCTGAAAAACAAAGCAACAACAAGTGTAAATTTCTTTAAATATTATTAAATTCATAAAAATTTGTAAAAAAAGGTTGATTTTACCTCCAAAAAAGGTTGACTTTCTGTCTTTTAGTTCTTTTTCAAAATCATCTATGCTATTTATTAAATCATTCCACGCATCACCTGCACTGCTACCTCCTCTGGATACTTTAGACATTGCTAAAGTCACCTATTGATATAAATAGTCAAATATCTAAATCCAGATTTCTTTCAGGCTCTAATTAAGCTAAATATTAATCATTGAAACTAAGTAATTTGAACTGAAGGCAGGCAGTTAGGCCCCACCATCTTGTACTGTACAAATATTACTACAGTAAACCCTTGATTTAACAGACAAAAAATTTGCTCTATAGGAAGAATTTAAATCCTTTTTTTATTTGCAAACAAAGCACACTAAAAGTTGAATTAGAATCAATGAGTATAAATTATTTAATATATATTTATTTTATTTGTATTTTTATTTTATACTTAGACATTATATCATTTTTTGGCAATAGTGGACACCCTTTCCTCAATTATTCCATTAAATTGAGATTTTACAAAGAAATCTTACAGTAAATAGATCATTTTACCAACTTGGAGATGCCACTTTCATATAAAATAATTTGAAACAGTATAGTTAATGGAACAGAGTGCTGTAAGTTTAGTTTTAAAATTGAAAACAAATGTTTGAAGAGCATAAGACAACAAAATAAACTGCTTTACTTGATTTTAGTTTTATGCTCTTGGATATTTGTATTTAATGCACTATTGCATGTGTCAAGTTTATATTTGATCATTAATTTTCAATGCTAGGATGCTTTGTCAAAATGTATTTGATATACAGTATATTAAAGCAACATTGTTTTTAAAAAAATAATAATTATGGTGATATTGCATATAAAATGTTTATAGTAAATCTAGAAGAAAACAAAACAAAGTCAAAATTTCTTCTGAAAACATCTTGTGTAGTCAGTCCATTAGTGTAGTGTCATTAAGACATGGCATCTTTACCAAGTAAGCCAGAATTCTTTACTGATTTAGACATGAAGACAATTGGAATTGTACATTTACTAAAAACAATTAATTAATTATATTTAGTTTGAGCTAGATAAAAATCATTACCTTTCCAAACACTTCCATCACCATTCTATCTTTTGCCTTTTGATAAGGATCTTTAGCAGTAAGTTTGTTGTCCGGATAAATCTCATCTACGTAATCTGATGATATTATAGATTCTGCAACTAATTTTTTATCTTGTTCCAATATAGGGATTTTACCAAGAGGATGTTTCTCAAATAGCCACTCGGGTTTATCCTTCAAGTTAATATTAATCACTTCGTGTCTGTAAAGAAATACGATTAAAAAAAATTGACAGTTATCGGGAAAAAATAGTCAAAAATGATATTTCAGCATATGAACAAATATTGGTTGACAGTGCAAAATTTAATCTAGAAAGATTTATTTTTAAGTAAAAAAATAAAAATTTGATCTTTTGCCAGTTTGGCACTAAATTCAAACTAACATTTTTCTAACATTTAATTTCTCTTTTCTTACCTCTTATTTGAATTAAGAAAGTTTATTTAAGTTTACTGAAAATTTACTTACTACATAAATTACGTCATAAAAATAAGAAAATTTAACATTGAATTTTAGTGGTTAGATTTAAAATTTTTATACGTACATATATATATTGTGTGTACGATAAAATTTAATTATATCATGTACACAATTACATAATTCTAGAAATAAATTTTAATTTATCTCTAGAATTGTATAATTGTATAGTTTAAATGAAAAAGTAACTTACGGTATATTTTTAGCAGCTAATACTAACAAAGTCCTTTCAGAAAACGGACAAAACCTCATACTGTACACCCTTAACTTTCCAGCTTCCAGTTTGGGGTATTCTGAACCTATTCAATAAAATATAAATTATATAGAACTTAAATAATTCAAAAATTGTCATTACTAAGAATGAAATATATCATTTTTACCTTTCGAATAGCATTTAGCTGTCATGTTGGGTTCTTGACTCTGAACTGAAGTGAGATCCGAGCTGCTTTGCTTCTATTTATAAAATGGGTGGAAATTCTAAAAATATTCTTGTTTCTCTTTTAACGGGGATTGGTAAAGTCCAAAGAGAATACCAAGCCAACAATATAAACGCTTGTCTAACAACTAACGTAAAATAACATCAGTTAAAACCTCTACTTTTTTTTTCCTGTTACATCTGCCTTTCTAAACCGATTTTTCTCAATTTGATTGATAATTTCACAGTCCACGTACAATAATTGCAGGAAATTATTAGACAATGCATAATGACTCACTTGCCAGTTAAAAAATTTTGTTCCAATCAAGAGGATAAGTACTGCATTACAATTATGAAAAGAATTATAATTAATCCCTCGTGTTTTTTGATGATAACAGAAATCAATTCTGCACGTTCCATGAATGATATTTAGCTTAGAAACAATTGAAGATTGATATAAAATCTTTTGCGATTAAAAGCTGTAAATATTTACCACTAATCGTACATATTTAATAAATTATTTTTAATATAATCGCTCAAGAATATAAATAAATGATTTTTCTTGAAATTGATCAGGAATTTCTTTATATTCTATTTCCTTATTTCCTATAAAATGATTCATAAATTATGAATTATCGAACATAAACTTTTAGGCCAATATAGTGAAACTTCTGAACAACGGCCACTGACGGAATGTAAAAAGTGGCCGCCGTTTAGAGGTGGTCGTTATTGAAGGTTCGACGGTATATAGAAGGTGGGGCATAATGGAGTCCCACATTTACGAGGTGAATTTGAAAAAAAAAAGGTACAATAATATGAAAAAAACTTTTTATTTATTCCAAGTACATGTAATAAGGTTTGTTTTGGTTTGAATGAATAAATAAGTTTTTTCCGTATTATTGTACCGGTTTTTTTTAAATTCACCTCGTAAATGTGGGACTCCATTATGCCCCACCCTGTATTTTTTATTCCTAAAATAATAGCAAATATTTTAAATCTAATTTATTATTAACAAAACTATGCAATTAAAATCTGTAGTTAATTATTTTTCATCTTTAAATAATACAAATTTTGTACTAAACTTTTAATAAAAAGTTTAAACTTATATTCTTCCTGAATGTTCATTTTCTTTGAAACTAATTCTAAATATATTAAGAAATAGATTCTGTTTTAATATAATAAATATTTATGATATAGAAGAAACAAACGTATTGCAAATATTCACGAATTATGAATATGTACTTGCACGAAATGGCCTTCATAATTCTCAAATTAGAAAGGTTAACGTTTAACCTTTGGTACATGATATATAATAAATATAAAATGATGATGGTATACTTTTATAGTTTTTTGGGGATACAGATGCATTTTGTATCAAGGTAAAAGTTGGGTCCGAATTCTATCCAGATTATGCAGAGGAAATTGGCCTGTTCGTTTGGTCCTGAGGGCCTAGTCTCTAGTTATGTGAGTAGCAACACAAGTGTATTTGAGAATATCACTTGATACCACTCGTTCAGTGAGACCATTCACTGAATGAGTTCGTGACATGTGATACACTCAACATATTTGTGCTGCTACCGGCTCAAGAATAGGCACCTACTCGAGTTATTTCGAGATTAAATACCCAGGGCGGTTGAGGCGTCGGATTACCTCTCCGGAGGACCCAGGATCGAATCTTGGCTGTCTTTAAATCTCAGAAATCTTTTGGGGTTGAACTATTCCGGAAATGTCGAGCCCCATTCCTCACCACCCGGCCACCCATTGCGAACTAG